ACTCCTCACCCCACATTTTTCTTTCTTCTCTCTCTTACCCCATACTTTCTAATAAAGCTCTCTCCTCCCCCATACTCTCATTTAACTCCTCCCTCTCTCTCTCTTTCATAACTCTTATTAAGCATTTATAGTAAATATTTATTTACTCTCTCTCTCTCTCTCCTCTTCGTCCCTCTCCTCATCTCTTCCTCCAATCATCTCTCCATCTCTCTAAAATTATTTATACAATTATTACAAATATGTCATAATAATTATCAATAACTATATTCATATTTATAAATAAATAATACTCATTATTATAATAATAGAAACATTTATAATTTATAATTTCAATTTATTAAAATAAAAATTAGAATGGTAACAATGTTAATCATAGTTTTATTTATGATAATTATATACTATTCATAAAAATAATAATAATATTTATATTGGTGAATGAAAAAAAGAGGAAAAGATTAATCTTTGTTTTTGTTTTATTAAATTTATTGATTTTTTTTATGTATTTTTATCTTTTATATTTAGCCTTTAAGTTTCTTATTATTACGATTTTGACCTTGTTTTTCAATTTTTTGGAAAAGAGCACCTCATTTATATAATGAGAAACTCGTTTTAGGTAACCCAATATTACTATTCTCTCTCTCACCTACCATATTAAATCCTTTTTATGTGTAACGCTACCTCATCTTTATTCTCTTTCTCTACATTCAAATTCATTTCTTGATTATCTCAAATCCTCTCTCCATAACATACATGCAATCCCTGAATTATACAAATTACTCATCTTTCAACGCCTTCTCCCATGTGCATCTTGCACTAAATATAAATTTAAGTTGCTTTTTATTTATTGGGAGACTTTCCATTCTCTTTCTCAGGTATTCTCTCCTTATTTAACCATCAATAGCTTTTTCTCTCTCTCTCACGGATTCTCTCTCCTTTTTGTCTCTCGAGTACTCACATGCATTTCTCTCTGTCTCTCAAACATGCACACCTCTATCTCTCTCTTAGTATAAACACTTTATATGGATACGATTTATATATCTAATATTTTAATTTTTCATTCGCGGTGTTAGCGATTATCTATTTATCTCTAAGGTGATGATGCGTGTTCTCTAAATAGGTATGTTTATGTCTATTTATTTTGTTATTCTATTTTTAATTTTATTTATTGTTGATCTAACTTCATGGAGACATGTACTAGGGTATGGTTTCTTTTTTTTTTAATGCTAGAAATTGTTGATAATAGTTTTAATTCATTCTCAAATTCATGTTTTTTAATTCCTGCTTTTTCATGCTTTTTGCAATTGCTACTATACGAGTGATATCATCTATTTGGGATGATGTGGCTTCAATGTTTGAGAGAGGGTTTTCAAAGAGAGACAATTTTGAATAGAGATAGAATGTCACCATGATATATATATATATCATCTATTTGGGATGATGTGGCTTCAATGTTTGAGAGAGGGTTTTCAAAGAGAGACAATTTTGAATAGAGATAGAACGTCACCATGATAT